GCAATGAGGCCAAAGTTCTAAACCCCTAAGGGCCCTTTCTCATGACCCAGCCTCTCCTGACCCTTGCCCTGTCCCAGGTCCCTGACAATGATGATCTACTCATCCTATGCACGCATAGTTCATATCATGTTGGCCACCCTTGGGCAGCTGGGGCCCTCTAGGCCTGTGGAGCTAGAGCCCATCCCCAACTACCTGCATAGCCTCAAGGATGGAGGGAGCGCACCTGCCTGCTCAGGACATGGCTCTGGGGTAGCTGCTGAAACGAGCAAGTCAGTGCCCACGTGGACTTACTGTCCGCTGGGTTCCCGGGCTTCTGTAGAATCAGGGCTCCCAGGTATCTCTTATTGGAGGCTACCCTGGCCAACTGTTGATCCAACCCTGGCAAGGCATTACAGATGACTCCAGTTAGGCTTTCAGTGGTAATACGCACATTTGCATGGGTTAGGGCTTGGAATCCAGCAGTTGCCTTTAAGCTCAAGAGCCTGCTCTTAATACCTGAATTCTCTTCACACTGCCAGGTCTTGTTGGCTACACGGACCCTTGCATCCAAGCATGTGCATATGCATACTGTCTGCTGGCCTTTGGCAGCCTTAATGCTCCAGGCCTGTGGAGCTTTGGCCAGGCCCCAACAAACTGCATTGCCTCTAGGGGGGTAAGGAGCCCACCCAAAACCTCTCCGAGTTGGAGCATTACACTGGCAACAGTGAGCACTTATCTATTAGACTCTATTATGCCTTTTGGGGACTGGGCTGAGCAGTCATCAAGGTTCACAGGTGTCCCTTAGGAAGGGCACCCAGGCCATCCCGTGCTGCCAAACCCTGGAAAGGCAGCCCAGATTCCTTAAGCTCTGCCTTCAGGGGTAATATGTGAATTTGTGAGTTGAGGCTTGCAATATTCCCAACAGCCCCCTCTTGTTACCAGGCTTCTCCCAACGTCCTGTCAAGGGCCAGCGCATCCCTGACCTGTGTGGCCCACACAGGGGCAGTCTTGAGCAAGTAGGAGCCCTTCCTGGAATGTGGAGCTCAGACTGGTCCCCAGCCAAGTATGTAACATTCTGGTTGGAGGGAGACTACTCTTCAAAAATCTTTGTGAGGAGGCAGCTTTACACTGGCAACGTCTGTCCTCCTTCACACTGGCTACATGCTGGAGTCCCTGGCTTTTACAGCTTTACAGGCTCCAGATGGCTCTTCGTGAAGGAGACCCCCAGTGAGTCAGCCAGGACCAATCCTGGTAAGGCAGCCCAGAGTCCTGCAGTTTTGCCTTCAAGGAAAATATGCCCATTTGTATCTGTTAGAGCTTGGAAACAGGAAGATGCCATGGACCCCCCAAGAGCCTTCTCTGGACGGTAGATTCTCCTGACGTTGCCCAGTCCTGGTCCCTGGATTCTCTGATCTGTATGATCTGCATGTGTAGAGTATATACCCCATTAGCCACCCTTAGGCATCCTGGGTCTCTAGGCCTATGGAGCCACCGCCCATCCCTAACCACCTCCATGTAGTTTCAGGTGTAGAGTGAGCCCACCCACCATTTAGCATTCTGAGAGAGCTGCTGAAATGGGTGAGCCTGTCCCTTTTGGACTTACTATCTGCTGGTGTCCCAGGCTTCTGCCACAATCAAGGCTCCCAAGTGTCTCTTTACTGGAGGATACACAGACCAGCCCCTGACAAAGCAGTCCAGGATCCCCAGGGGAGCTTTGTGGGGGAATATGCACATCTGTGTAAGTTAGGGCGTGGAATTAGCCAGATGTCTTGGATATATGAAACCCCACTGCCAAGCCTGGCCTAACCCTACACTTGGTGTGTGCCAGGTACCTGACTACCTTGACTGCCATGGACTGTGCATGCAGAGTAGGAGGCTTGTCAGCCAAACTTGGGCAGCCGGAACTCTCCAGGACTGTGGAGTTCAGGCCCATCCCTAGCCACCCGCATAGCCTCAAGGGTGGAGGGATCCCACCTGAAAATCGCTGAGGCATCAGCTAAAATGTATGACAGTCCCCTCGTGGACTGGCTGGCTGTTGGGGTCCTGGGCCTCTGCTGTAATCAAGGCTCTCAGATGTCTTATTGGAAGATACCCTGGCCAGGCCTTGAAATCTGGCCCTGGCAAGGCGATCTACACTCTTCTAGCTTTGCCTTCAGCAGGAATATGCACATTCATATAGAGATCAGTTAGATGCCATGGATCCCCAAGAGATCCCTCTTGAGATATGGTTCTCCTGACATTGTCCAATTCCAGGTTCTTGGCTGCCCTAATCAGTGCAGACCCTATCAGCGGTCCTTCCCAACCATCTGCATGGCCTCCAGAGCAGAGGGAGCGCCCCTCGAAACCTGAGGGAACAGTTTTAAACTGGCAACAGTCCCCATTTGGACTGGATGCCTAATGGTATCCTGGGTTTCTCCAGGAATCCAAGATCCCAGGTGCCTCTCAGTGAAGGCTATCCCAGCCAGTTTGCTCATCCCACCTTGGCAAGGCAGTCCAGGTTCCTCTAGCTTTGCCCTCGGGACAATATGTATGTTACTGTAGGTTAAGGCTTAGAATTAGGGAGAGGCCTTGTAGCTCTCAACAACCCACTCTGAGCAACCATCACTCGGCACTGTGCCTGGCCCTTGCATGCACAGTTCACACCCCTATAGCCTGCCTGGGGCAGTGGAGGCCCTCCTGCCCCGTGGAGCACCAGTTGGTCTCTGACCATCTGTATTGCCTCCATGGTGGAGGGACCCCACCCCCTAAAATCTTTCTTAGGTTGTTGCTTCAAACTGGAGAAAGTCCCCATTTGCTGGCTGCCTGATGTGGTTTCAGGTTTCTCCAGCAATCCAGGCTCGCATGTATCTCTTATGGGGGATACCCAGGCTGGCCATCAGGCCTGCCTTATTAATGTTAATGCAGTACTAATTCCTCCAGCTTTCCCTTTAGGGCAAAATGTACATTTGCATAGGTTAGGATTTACAATTAGACAGATGCCATGAGGCCCCAAGAGCCTGCATTGTAGACCTGGCCTTTTCTACACTTGCCAGTTACAAGTTGCATGGCCTCCTTGACCTGCACAGCTCATACAGTACACACTGTTGGCCAAGTTCCGGCAGCTAGAGCTCCTAAGCTTGTGGAATTTGGGCCCATCCCCCACCACCACCTTTAAACTGGTAACATTAAGTCCTCATTTTGACTGCCTGCTTGACGGATCCAGGGCTTATCAGGCATCTAGGCTCCCAGGCATCTCTTAAGTGGAGGATATCCCAGCTGGCCTGCCTGGGCCTGTCCTGGCAAGATGGTTCAGGTTCTTTTCAGTTTTGCCTCCAGGGGTAATATGCATATTTGTCAAGGTTAGGGCTTGAAGTAAGGCAAATGCCATAAGCCCCCATGATGCATTTGTGAAATCTGGCTTCTCCCTACACTTGGCCTGTTCCATGCCCCTGTCTACAATGACTTGCATGACCCATGTATGTATCCTACACACCCTGTCAGCTGACCTCTGGCAGCCATGGTCCTGCAGGCCTGTAGAGCTCAGGCTGGTCCTCAACCACCTGGAAAGCCTACTATGGCAGGAGCCCACCCATGAAAATCATTGAGGCTGCTGCTCAAATCTGGCAACAGTCAATCCTCGTGTTGAAGTGCGGGCCCCATGTGGTCCCCGACTTCTATAGCAACCAAGCCCCTCAGGTGAATATATTGCCAGGCCACCTCTGCAGGCCTTGTCCCGGCAACAAAATCCCAATATATCCAGCTCTGCCTTAAGGGCAAATAGATGCCTTTGTGCAGGTTAAGTTTTGAATTAGGCAGATGGATCCCTAGTAGCCTGCTCCTGTCATGTGGCCTCTAAGGACCCTTGCCCTGTCCTAGGTCCCTGGCTAAATTGCAGTTGGCACATGGGCGGGCAGTCCCAGTCAGCAAGCACCCCCTCAGGCCCTGGGATGTTGATGCCCTCAAGGCCTTGGTGCTCTGGACCTCAACCACTTTAATGGCCTCCAGGGTAAAGGGAGCCTACCCTCCAAAACTCTTGAGGCAGTACCTTCAAACTGAGGACAGTCCCTATTTGGACCAGCTCCTCAATGGAACCCCAAGCTTTCCCACCAATGAAGCCTCCTAGGTGTCTCTTACTGTAAGATATCCTGGCCAACTAGCCTGGCCCTGCCATGGCAAGGCACCACAAATTCCTCTAGCTTGGTCTTCATGGGAATGTATACATTTGCGCAAGTTAAAGTTTGGGATTTGGCAGATGCCCCAAGGGTCTGCTCCTGTGATGCAAACTCTTCAGACACTTGTCTTGTTCCAGGTCTCTGGCTACCCTTATATGATCTATGCACACATAGCCTGCACCCACGCCGTCATCAAGTGATGTGTTTTACGGGCTCTGCAGGCCTGTAGAACTCATACCAATCTCCCAACAGTTGCAGAAACTCACTGTGGAAAGAGCCCATCCCTGGGAATTTTTTCTGTGGCAGCAGCTTCTAATGGGTGCCAGTCAGTCCCTATTTTGGCTGGTGGCATGATGGGATAGCAGACTTTTCTGGCAATCAGGGCTACCAAGTGATTTACTTATTGGTGATTATGACAAAAGAAATGATAGAAGATATTTAAAAATGGTTTCTTCATCTTGCTATTTCTAAATACTTCTCTACAAATAAACTATGTGTGGTTATGTTTTATTCTCATTAAATGATAACTCTAATGGGATATGTTTTCTATTTAACATTAGTTTTTGAAACGTTAGACATCTACATAAGCTACATAAAAATTTTGGTCAGGTACATGCAAATATAGTCCCAGTGAAGATCACCTTGCTGTATTATTATCACTTTCACATACTCTGCTTGTTATATTTTAACATCAGTTCTCATTATGCTTACTGTCTTTAATGGATAAAAGTGTAACTCAAACAATTAAAAACTGTGAAAGGGTCAAAAACATTGCAGCAGCTAGCACTTTCAACCAGGTCATTAGCTGGAGGATGATAGGTCACAGGCCTGCTGAGCCCAACCATAAAGCTTGGAGGCTTTCAAACAAAATACATTTAAGCTATTTTATTGATTTAAAAGATACAAAAGGAAACAACAGCATTAATTTTTTTAGCCATAGGAATCCCCTGAAACTTCTCTGCCAACTCTTCAAAACTAACTGAGAAACTTAAAACTACCTCACAGGAGAAAAAAAACTCCAAAGTCCAGTGTCTGGACTGATTCTACACCAGTGTCTGATTCTACACCAGTTTCTTCTGGAACTCTGATATCACTCAGGAAGCAACTTATATTAATGCAGAATGTAATTACAATTTTTCTGTGATAATAATTAAACAGTTATGTATGGTATCATGTATGATATCCTATGCCCATGAGTCACTATTCTAAAAAAAAAAAACAAAACCGCAAAAGTAATGAAAGATGAAATCCCAGATACGCAAAAGAAAATCTGTAAACTTGAAAAAAAAAAAAAGAAATAACTGAATAGAAATTAATGTTAAGCATACATTAGATAATACATTTTAATTATTTGTACATTTAAAAAATATAAAGTTTTATGCTTTAAAAATAATCATTTTATTCATGAATAGACCCAAAACTAATAAACTGCTTCTTTTTAATATAAGTTTTGAAATAGTGGATAGAAAACTGACAACAGTTTCAGCTGATTGCACTTATACATGAAAGGAAAAGTGTTTTTTTTTTTAACAAAGGCTAAACATTAAAAGAAAAAGTGCCAGTTTACAATCTTTTTCTAAATTATATTGAAAGAAAATGATAAAAAATCATATTCAACTGAATGAAGAAACAAAAATGTTTTTCTCATCTGTGATCTGAGACACTGGTAGATTGGGTATGCACATTTCATACTGGTTCTTCATAGATCTGAGGTAGCACAGGTCAGCAGGCCAACAGAACAAGTCTACAAGGCACCATTGGTTTTGTGTGACAGAATGCTAGCTGGCACCTGAGATCTAGAAATACAGGAAAAAATTCAAATACGGTATATACATTTTTCTTCAATTTCCTCTGATTCTGTATTGGATTGATACTGATATTATATTTACTATGCTCTGTCCTTTTGTTCAGGCAGGTCTTTACTCAAATCTATTTGAAAGATTCCTTCACAAAGTCACAAACGAAAACAGTTCTTTTAGGTATGCCCTACACTCAACTGACCACCACTTAAGGCCTTGGATAGAACAGATGTATGTGTCTTTCCTGTGACAGATATTTTCCAATAGATTCTTCCCCCATGTCTTTATAATCTCTTTTTAGGTATCAGTAAAGATCCCTGTATCTTCCCAATGTTTCCAAAAAGCTTTTCATGTTTTAATCATGTGACTTCTGATTAAAACATGAAAAGCTTTTTGGAAACACGGGAAAGATACACACACACACACACACACACACACACACACACACACACTATACATACATATTCTGCTCTCACAGCAGCAGAGAAGCCAAAAACTAGTTGAGATATTCCAAGATCATGGTGATGGTTCCACGTCATGGAACAGACCCTTTATACAATTTTACTAGAGTTCTGCCTTCAGAGCTGCAATGCAAATTAACAACTACTGTCTCCATCAACACTGTTCTCAATCTTTCTCATAATCACAGAACACGGTCCAACATTTACTATTGGGCATTCAAACCTCTTAGAATCTATTCACCATGTCTGCTTCCTTTTAGGAAGTATAGTGTCTCTTGGATTTCTTTAATTGTTAACCTACTGTTGTTTTCAACTATCTAGTCAACAAATGAGCTGCATTTATATGTTCCATCACTGTGTAACAAGTAGATAGCATGGTGAAGTTATGCTACTGTACCCAGATAAAATCTACTATTCAATTAGTTATTAAAATCTGTTCTGCTTAAATGGCACTCAAACTCTCATCCGAGACAATTATAAAATTCCATTCAGGGGAGACAGAAATGATGATTAACAGAAATTAACAAAAGCATCAGAAATATACTCAGCAAATACCAGTTTATACATTCTGCTGTTCATCTTTATGTCTTTATCTTTTATAAATAGCATGTCTGTATAATAAACCTATTATTTCATCTTCTAACTCATAAGTTTTAATATATTATTTTTCTCCCCTTATTCCTATCTTCTAATGCTTTTTTCACTTAATCAATGATTCTCAAATTTCATTATCAGGAGAACTCTTTGCTCCAATTAAATCTTATGGAGACTCCCACTATATAGAGCAGTCAAAAGCGAAATGCTCTGATAAAAAGGGGAGGGTTGTCAGTAGACACAGCTTAGAAACCACTGCTCTAAAGCATTCAAGAAAGCTGAAGTAAAGATATGGTCCATTGGAATTGCTTCATTTCCAATGATTACAAATAATTTCCTCCTTGTTTCCAATTTTTAAGAACATTTCTTGAGGATAGTTGCTTTTACACCTCAGCCCATTAACGGAATAAAAGCACAGTGCCTTACATATAGCTAAGTATTTGAATTCACATTTCTTTTTATACTGTTAAAAATGCAAATTAGTATAAGATATAATCCCATGACTAGGTTATTAAAATCAGTTTAAAAAATACTTAACGTGATAGAAAAAACATTTTTTAAATTACCATTGCTTCATAAAATTGTAATTACTCTAGTCCAAGTCCAAACACTAGCCAAAAGGCTCCTTAGACTCTGAAACAAAAATCACTGTAGTCATTCTGAGAAGATTTTATCTCCCATGTAATGATTCTGTTGCTATATTTTTAGATTTAAATAAAAAAAAAGAGCCTCAATTACATTTTTATGCATATTTTAAACCTGATTTACTTGAAAGGCCAGGAAAAAAAAAAGTCAAGTTTTGTCAAGCTTAGAAAGATTTTACAAAAGGTAAAAAAAATGAATTTTTTTCTCTAAAATAAGCTCATTTGTGCTTTCCAGGCTTTTCATCAACCTCCTTCCAGAGAAACAGGTTTATAAACTGACTTTTTAATAACTCCATGCCTTCAAAAACCAATTCTGTTCTTAACTTATAAAAGGCACCCCTGTTCTTCTATGCTCTTCACAGGCTGGACGGGCAGCACCAGGTGTGAAATGCGGCTCCAGAGCCCGCTCAATTTGTCAGAGTCCATGTGGTTGAAGGAGCGAGGAGTGTCAGAGTTGGTAAACCTGGCCCAGAGTAAATCTCTAACTTTTTCTTCAGTTTCCCTGGGGCCAACACTTGCTTCTAATGTTTTTTCCTCTAGGAGAACAGTCAGGACTAGGGCCACATCTTTGAAGGCAGCATTCTCATGGTCACAATACTTATAGAAGATCAAGGTAGAACCTGCAGGAAGGGATTCAAAGTGGTGTACCACGGCAGCCTTCTGGCCATTCTCAAATCCCGAGCTCAGCTCCACATCAACCAAGTGCTTGACTGTGTCACTGTCCTGCAAGGTTCTTCCAGTCCCATCAATTTGAATGGCAGAGACTTTCTGGAAGGAGGTGTAGGCATCTGCCACGAGGTGGCTCAGGCACTTCAGGGTCTCTCTTCCCTCTTGAGCTGCTGTAAATATGATGGTGGCTGGCTCAGTAGGGTTTGAAGCATTGAGGTGCTTCTGGAGAAATTTACGTCCTCTCTGCCATAAGAAGGAACTCTGGCCTGGAAATTTATCTTTCAATTGGCTGAACTGAACCAAAAAGGCCTCCAAAGCTGGATTTTTGGGCACTTGCTGGGCTGGAGAGGAATAGAAGCTATTAACACAACTTAGCAAAAAAAGTGTCATAACCAGGAAGCCAAAAAAGATGGAGCCTGTCAGAGAATGGGAAAATAAAACACAAAATTAGAACATAGATCAGAAAATAAACCTGGGGAAAAATTAAAACGAGTTAGATTTTACTAGTTGTGGTGAGTTTGTCTATATCCTTTAAAGTTTGAGATATTAATTAAGGTCCACCAGAAACACTTCTTCTCTATTATCTTAATTATTTGAAGTTACAGTATTTTTGTTAAAAGGTAAAAGCTAAGTTTATGTATTTGTTGCTGTAACTAATAATGTGATTTAGAAATAAACTATTGCAATAGTCTTTCACCTTCTCAAAGTACCTAATACCTACAATGGGCCATTTTTTCTGAAAGGGTCAAAATGTAAAAAATGCCCTTTGAGAAGTTAATACTCTGTAATTAAAAAGCAGTTTTAGTTTCTTATTTATGGAAAGCCCTTCCTCCTATGGGAATTCCCATTTTTGTTAAGGATGGCAAAATATCTGCCAGACCCCTAAAGGAAAATCCTTCAAACTCTATTGCTCTCTTTTACTATTACTTATTACCAAACGTTTAAAAAAATACATTTAAAAAAAGTCGCAGTAATTAGACAAAAAAGAAATAAAAGGCTTTCAAATTGGTAAGAAGTAAAACTTTCACTATTTGCAGAAGAAACAATACTCTATACAGAAAACCCTAAAGGTACTACCAAAAACTACCAGAACTCATAATTGAATTCAGTAAAGTTGCTGGATACAAAATCAATGTGCAGAAATCTGTTGTATTTGTGTATACTAATAAGCAGCAGAAACAGAAATCAAGAAAACAATCCCATTGACACACCAAAAATAAGAAGATACTTTGGAATAAACCTAACCAAAGCAGTGAAAGATCTATACTCTGAAAACTAAAGAACACTGATGCAAGAAACTGAAGATGACACAAAGAAATGGAAAGACATTCCACGCTCACGGACTGGAAGAACAAATATCATAAAAATGGCTACACTACCCAAAGTATTTTACAGATTTAATGCAACCCCTAACAAAATATCAACACTATTTTTTACAGAACTAGAACAAATCATCCTAAAATATATATGGAACCACAAAAGACCCTGAACTGCCAAAGCAATTTTGAAAAAGAAAAGCAAAGCTAGAGGTATTATAATTCCAGACTTCCAGGTATATTACAAAGTGGTAGTAATCAACCAGTATCATACTGGCACAAAAACAGATACACAGATCAATGGAACACAAAAGAAAACCCAGAAATAAACCCATGACTATATGGCCAATTAGTCTTTGAAAAAGCAGGAAACAAAAATTCACTGGGAAAAAGTCTCTTCAACAAATGGCTGGGAAAACTGGACAGCTACATGCAAAAGAATGAAACTAGATCACTTTCTTACCATACATAAAAACACATTCAAAATGGATTAAAGACTGGGCAGCCTGGGTGGCTTAGTGGTTCAGTGCTGTCTTCAGCCCAGGGCGTGATCCTGGAGACCCGGGATCGAGTCTCACGTTGGGCTCCCTGCATGGAGCCTGCTTCTCCCTCTGCCTATGTCTCTGCCTCTCTCTTTCTCTCTCTCTCATGAATAAATAAATAATAAAATCTTAAAAAAAAAAAAAAAGAATTAAAGACCTAAATGTGAGACCTAAAACCATAAAGCCATAAAATCCTAGAAAACAACACAGGTAGTAAGGCCTCTGACATCGACTAGAACAACATTTTTCTAGATAGGTCTCCTGAAGCAAGGGAAATAAAAGCAAAAATAAACTATTGGGATTACATCAAAATAAAAAGCTTAGGCACAGCAAAGGAAACAATCAACAAAACTAAAAGGCAATCTACTGAATGGGAGAAGACATATGCAAATGACATATCTGATAAAGGGTTTGTATCAAAAATTTATAAAGACCTTACACAAATCAACACCCAAAAAACAAATAAATTAAACAATGGGCAGAAGAAATGAACAGATACTTCTGTTCATGTCAAAGAAGACATTTGGATGGCCAAGAGACACTTGCTCAACACCATTCCTCATCAGAGAAATGCAAATCAAACTACAAATAGGTTATCTATCACCTCCCACCTATCACAATGGCTAAATCAATAACACAAGAAACAATACATGCTGGTAGCATGTGAAGAAAGGAGAACCTTCCTGCACCATTGGTGGGAATGCAAACCGTTGCAGCCACTGTGAAAAACAATATGGAAGTTCCTCAAAAAGTTAAAAATAGAACTACCCTACCATCCAGTAATTGTGCTACTGGGTATTTACACAAAAAATACAAAAACACTAAGTCAGAAAGATATACGCAGCCCTATGTTTACTGCAACATTATTTACAACAGAGAAATTATAGAAGCAGCCCAAGTGTCCATCAGGAGATGAATGCATAAAGAAAATGTGGTAAACACACACACACACACACACACACACACACACACACACAAACATACAATGGAATATTAACCAACAAAATATGAAATCTTGCCATTTGAAACACGGATGGAGCTAAAGAATATAATGCTAAGTCAGTCAGTCAGAGAAAGACAATATATGATTTCAGTCATACGTGGAATTTAAGAAACAAGACAAATGAGTAAGGGAGAAAAAAGAGACAAACCAAGATCATAGACTCTTACCTACAGAGAACAAATTGATGGTTACCAGAAGGGAGAGGGCAGGGAGCTGGGTGAAACAGGTGATGGGGATTAAGGAGTGCACTTGTTGTGATGAGCACAGGGTGATGTATGGAATTGCTGAATCACTATATTGCACAGCTGAAACTAATATAACACCATGTATTAACTCTACTGGAATTAAAAGCATACAAAACAATGTTAAAACTGCTTAAATCTGCTAGTTTTCTAGGTGCTTTCTCTGAGGATTTCTGAATGTAAATCAACATTATAAAATAAGACCAATTTTGTTCTCACCATAATTCAAAAACTTCTTTGTATTCATCTTTCTTACGGTATCCAGTGCATTCTGTTTGTTTTCTTCCAATTCTTGTGTTTCTTGCTGATGACTTTCAGCTTCTAGGGGACAAAGGAACATTATTTTTAGACAATACACTAACGGGGTATCATATACTTTAAACCTCTTACCAAAGACTTACTAGACTGAGAGGATTACTATACTTTGTAAAAATCTTCTTATACAAAGCTAACTTTTTTTCCTGTCTTTTCCTTAAGGCTATTACTTTGATTCTACCTAGAAGAATAAAATGAAGTAGTGAAATTCATGTAAGGTTACTGTTGCTAAATTCACTATTTCCCACTGGCCCTTACATCAAGGACAAAGCAACAAGCATCCTAATATTGCAGCCAAACCTATCTACAATGTGTCTTGACAATGTACAAAATTAAAACGGGACTAAAGAAGTGTTAGCTAGGGGTACCTGGCTGGCTCAGTCAGTAGAGCATGCAACTCTTGATCTTAGGGTCATGAGTTCAAGCCCTATACTTGGCATAGAGGTTACTTCGAATAAATAAATGACAGCTATTTAAAAAATAAATAAAGCACACATAATAAAATGCTTTTTTTTTTTTTAAAAAAAAAGAAGCATTAGCTGTATGCTAGACTCAACATCATAAGGCAAAGACACTCTAATTTCAGGGTTCAAGTTATGTGACTCCTCAAGACCCCAAGTATACAAATAGCAGAGACTCTAAGTTTAGAGATAAGAGAGATTACTGTACAGTTACAGAACAGCTTACAAAAGCAAGTTTGAACCTCTTAGTGAAGGAAGTATAAAAAGCAAGGAATACCAAGTTAAGAAAACTTATGAACTACATAAAAATGTAGGTAGGGTGAGACATCAATCTTAAAAAATGTGTGAGTGAAAAGGAGGGCACTCTAAGTCACTCTACAGTCAAGGTGTGTGCTTACTGGAAAAATAACTCAAAATGGTATATGCTATTAACATAAAGAAGTAAGATCATCTCCATCTATAAAGGATTGTGGGGATCCCTGGGTGGTGCAGCGGTTTGGTGCCTGCCTTTGGCCCAGGGCGCGATCCTGGAGACCCAGGATCGAGTCCCACATCGGGCTCCTGGTGCATGGAGCCTGCTTCTCCCTCTGCCTATGTCTCTGCCTCTCTCTCTCTCTCTCTCTCTCTCTGTGTGTAACTATCATAAATAAATAAAAATTAAAAAAAATTATAAAGGATTGTGTATTTAGTCATATCACACCCCCCAAAAATAGGAATTTAAACTATCATATCGCAGAATATGAAAGGATCTTTAATATCACCCACTGTGGCTCCACCTTACCTATCATGGCAAAAGGTCCAGGGACATTAAGGGCTTTGCCCAAGGTCACATAAAGAGATGTAGCTAAACTGAGATTAGAACAAGGTTTCTCATCTGCTAGATCAGCATTCCATTATATTAAGTTACTGCCCACAGCTTGCACTTTTAAAATTGTATTTTCTTCCTCTATTCTTCCTCTATTCTATTAGAATACTCCATACAAATCACATTCATTTCATGTAACAACTATTCATAAAGTTGCTTCTCTATGCCAGGTGCCACAGAAACACAATGAATGGCAGAGACATAGTCATTGCTTTCAATGAAGTTAGACTATTCTAATGATTAGTGAATGAAACATATATTTGAAAAAAAAAAAGAAAAGAAACATATATTTGAGATCAGTCACTGATTTATAGCAAAACAGGAACTTCCTTCAAGCCCTTAGTCAAGTCCCTGATGAACAGAAAGTCTTAGATTTTATATCCCTTTGCACTTGGCAAATAGGCATTTAGAATGAGTTCTTCCAAGTACTTATAAAATACAAACCCATACATGCAATCATAGACAGAGAGAGCTGGGAGAGACCAGCTAGTTTATCTCTTATCCAACTTTTTCTTTTTTTAATTTTTTAAATTTTTTTATTTATTTATGATAGTCACAGAGAGAGAGAGAGAGAGAGAGAGGCGCAGAGACATAGGCAGAGGGAGAAGCAGGCTCCATGCACCGGGAGCCCGATGTGGGATTCGATCCTGGGTCTCCAGGATCGCGCCTTGGGCCAAAGGCAGGCGCCAAACCGCTGCGCCACCCAGGGATCCCTTATCCAACTTTTTCATTCTATAAATAGGAAACTGAAGTAACAGAAGTTAAGACACTTGCCTAAGGTCACCCAAGTTAGCAAGTGGTAGGGCCACAACTAGAATCCACCTCTCTTTTGAGTTCCAGTTAAGGACTTAACCACTATAACTATTATCTTCATAAGGGAAGACAGGATGCTTATTCACCTTAATAGACAAGTGGGGAAAATTATGTAAAGAGAAATTAACTGATTCACTTAAAGTCCTATAAAATGACTGAGTTAAGGGCACTGGACCACTGATGCTGGTTTTTAAATATACCCATCTCTAGATTTATGTGGCATTTAGTTTTCAAAAAGAAAAAATATTTTAAAAATGTTAAGTAAAAATATGCTCCAAAGAAAAAGCCAGAAGTGAAGTTTTAAAAAGTCATGTACCTCCTCCTTTTAAAAATTGTACATTACTACAAACAATAAGTAAATACAAATATTGTTTAAAAATGTGTTGGAAAAAAATAATGTGTTGGAAGCTACCTAAGTGGTGTAATGAGCTAGTCTAGCAGATGAAAAACCTCACTCTAATGTCAGCTGAGTCATATCTCTTTAAGTGACCTTGGGCAAGGCCCAAAGGCCTTGATCCTATGAAGAGAAATTCTCTAAAAAGAAGGACCCTGACCTATGCTTGTAATAGAGCAATACAAAACAGAAGTCCAATGGGCTCTCTCACCTGGTGCCTGCAGTCGCCTCCTCGCTGTACTCTGGCTCTCCGGTGCTGCAGGGGAATAAGCAGGGCTCTGGGTACCCTGAGGGTCTATGGCAGGTGGCTCCTGTAACACTCCAGGTTCGCTGTTCACTTCCTCAGGCAGGGCTGCAGAGCTGCTCCAGAAGAGTGCATCTTCTCTTCCTACCTTGTCATTTGGAGAACAGGTGGGTTCTGGATCCAAGGGTTTTTCACTTGGACTTTCCGAAGAGAGTTGATGTTCTTCTTCTTCATCCTGAAAACTCTGGTTGTTCTCATGTTCTGTTTTATCCTTTGGATAGTTCTCATAATTTGTTTCATCTGGACTTTCTGATAGATCATCTGTGTCTGTACTTCCTGGACCTACTGTTTCTACCTCTTGGTGAACTTTGTTAAGATCAGAGGCAAGGTCAGGGGTCTGAGCTTCTTTGGTGGTACTTGCTGGGACTGCGATCTCCTGTGCCTGAGAACTTATTGGCGGGTCATTTTTCAAATCCTTTTGAGAGACTATTGAGATAAAAATTTATAATTTTTATTGAAAAAAAATCCCAATTCTTTTTGTATTTTAACAAGATCCCTGATAAATAATAAGTAATATGTGTATAGATTTTTATGGTTTATAAGGCACTCTTCTTAAACATTATTTCTCTTGGTTTTCAGTAAAGCTGATTAAGACAAATTTATGTGTTAATAAATTTAACAAATAATACTAATTTAAAACTACTCTGAATGACAGAACCAATTTTTGATTGTATTAAAAATATCCTCTTCCCTAATAAAATAATGAATCTAGGCAGTAATTGTCAACAGCAACAAAACCACTATAAAAAAGCTAGTGAGAAATTTTATAATGAATCAATCAGATTGATAAAACTGTAGAACTGATCAATTGTAACATCACAGAAAGAGGGAAAACCAGACATTATTAACCTCCCAATTCAATGCAATGGGAAGTACATTATACCACCTATGAAGTATTCTTGCCAAACAACTGGTCAATCTGATCAAGATTCTAGAGGTATCAGTTTCCATGAAATATACAGAGGAATACATTAAATCATGCCTCAGACATATAATTGGTAAAACCTAGAATGTGAGAAATTCAAAGGGACAAGAGACTTTGGTTCCTTAATAACAGCAAAAAATAAAAACTAATGGCAATGAAAAGAAAAAAAAAAGAGAAAGGTTTCCAACATATTAAGAGAAACTTAAAGACATCAAATATATCAACAAAATGCAATGTGTGACCACACTGTTTAGATCTAATGTTGAACAAATTGTTGAAATATTTATGAGATAATCAGAGAATTTGAATGCCAGATATATACTACGGAATTACTGTTCATCTTTTAAGTACAATATATTGTGGGGATCCCGGGGTGGCACAGTGGTTTAGTGCCTGCCTTTGGCCCAGGGCGCGATCCTGGAGACCTGGGATCGAATCCCACGTCGGGCTCCCGGTGCATGGAGCCTGCTTATCCCTCTGCCTGTGTCTCTGCCTCTCTCTCTGTGTGTGACTATCATAAATAAATAAAAATTAAAAAAAAAAAGTACAATATATTGTGATAATTTTTTAAAACATCCTTTTAGAGACAAGTATCACATATTTATGGCTAAATTACATGTCTAGAATTTTCTTCAATTCAAGATTATGAGTGAAAGAAGGGAGACTACGGATGAAACAATATGTTGACAGCAGATGAAGCCATTTTATGGGTACATGAGATCCATTTCATTTCCTTCTATACTATCATGAATGTTTGACATTTTCTATAATAATGCTTTAAAAGAGAGCAACCTAAAAGATCAATCAAATGCAGTGAGTGGCCCACTATAAAGAAGAAAAAAAAGCAAAACCCTGTGAAGGAAAAAAACATTAGGGAGGACAAAAAAGATTTGAGACAAGTGGAAAAATGTGCATTCTGATTAAATATTAAAAAAACAGTATTAATATTTTTTCAGGTGTGATGCTATTTGGTTACTTTAAAAAAAAATCTATCTTTAAGAGATGTAAACTAAAGTATCTAACAACAAAATGATTTAATGTCTTCTTGCCTGCCTGGAATATTTAAATGGAAATCCAAGGCATTAAATCTAACTTTCAGTTATAACCTATGTTATGTTGAAGTCACTATACTGTACACTTGAAACTAGTATTACATTGTATTTTAATGAACTAGAATTTAAATAAAAACTCTAAAAAAAGGAATTAAATGTTGAGTACGTGGGAATTCATTATAGCGCTCTCCTATATATTTTAAAATATCCTTAAATAAAAGGTTTAAGTAAATATGCCCTCTTCTGAAATATATACTTCCTATTCTATTTTATATCTCCTACATATATATACAAGATGAAAAATTTAAATTTCCTTTTTCCCTATAATTCAAAGATCTCTAAATAGATGGCACATTACTTTTTTTTTATTTTTAAAAATATAGCTCTACACTTGACGGGATGAGCACTGGGTGTATTCTGTATGTTGGTAAATTGAACACCAATAAAAATTAATTTATATAAAAATAAAAGAAATAAAAAAAATAAAATGATTCACTTTATTAAAAAAAATATAGCTCTAAAAAAATAAAAATAAAAATATAGCTCTAAAAATTGGTCCCTAAGATGCATATATTTTTTCAATACTACAGGTTTTGAATTAATACTACTGGAGTCTCTAAAACATTAATCTTCCTCACAATTCGAATCTGACATAATGGTGGACTTCAGTAAATACAAGAGTAAGAATAATCATAACAAACTAATCAATTAAGCTAGCTTCTTTTTTACTTCCAAACTTCAAGCTTCCGTCATTTGAGGTCTTCTCTTAGCACAGCTCTAGATTCCTACAGCACAAATATGGAAAAATCCGTGCTGTACAGACTAGTCTTACCCTCTGCAGGATCCCTGTCAGCCATGTTTGTGGTCTAGCTCTTCAGACTTTGGGATACTTTTTGTTAGTGTCTGGTTTTTCTTGTGAAGAGGTCTTGTTTTCTTCTTGTCCCAAGTCCCAACAGACTCATGCTTCCCGCGGACCCAGGAAATAAGGCATATATACAGTGACTAAAATAAAATGAAAAAAATTAAATGATTTTTTAATTCATACATGGAAGAAATGCCAATTTCAGGTTCATTTACTCAATCTATTTAGTTTGAGTAATAGTTCCTGTTTGAAACTTTTCTAGTGAAAAAGAAATGTTTTCTGGCTTTGGTGAGGATCTTCAAATCCTTGACTACAAATAGAAAAAAGGCTTCAGATTATTAATCTTGCATGGATGCCATAATCGAATACATTCCATTGTGTTGAAAGGATGGAAAATGCCAAATGACCAGAATCTTAAAGACGACGTCTTTGAAAATGGAATAAAAAGTAACCGAAGAGTAAAAATTTAAGTCATTGCTCAATTAATTACTACAGATTTCCTTTATGTCAATTTCTATCCCATATAAATCTCTCATCCTACCAGCAGCTTCCACTTATCATGACTAAGTAACAATGAACAGAGAGTATAGTACATCTACAAACTAAGGTAGCTGCCTTCGTATCAGAAGGAAACACACATTTGGAGTTTCATCACTGCCGTCTTACTGTGGTTTCCCTTATTCTTTCTAGATGTCTTCAAGGCCTTTCCATGTAGTGTTCAAAAAAGACTAATGTACAAATTATTATGAACTACATACAAAAGGAATCAAAGTCAGAAGCAATTATTAATAAAACATTCTATCATTTTACATATAGTTAAATCATATTTTTTGTCAGGAACAATAATACCTAAAGTTACTTAACTTTCCTTATCTCTAAAAATGATTGAGGACTGCTATGAGTATTAAATACAAAAGTATATGTGAAAGAGGTTTGGAAAGGGTCATTATTTTTGATAGCCCCATTGAGAGGCTAGCCAACTAAACTTTGTCTTTTTCATAGCACTCTTCTGGAAAATTTAATTTTACAAGTTAAAAATCTTAATCCCAAATGCCAGGCTTAATGCCTAATGTAAAGGAAGAACTCCCTATTTAAATTTAAAAGAATATGAGTAAATAAACGTATGTATGAATGTATAGAGTGGTGCCAATTATAAATGTGAAGAGAAGTTAAAAAAAAAGGGCTCCTTCTGCTGGTATGAACATTCAGGAACAGGTCTAAGATTTGGAGAGTTTCTGGTCACTCTTTTATCTTCTTCAATCTCCTGAGAATGGACTTCCAACACTCCTTTGCATTACCATATGTTCCAATGAGGGTTTCTCTCCTATCCTAGTTTATGATAGAAAATTAAAAAGTGGGATCCCTGGGTGGCGCAGCGGTTTGGCGCCTGCCTTTGGCCCAGGGCGCGATCCTGGAGACCCCGGATCGGGTCCCACGTCGGGCTCCCGGTGCATGGAGCCTGCTTCTCCCTCTGCCTGTGTCTCTGCCTCTCTCTCTCTCTGTGTGTGTGACTATCATAAATAAATAAAAAAAAAAAAATAAAAAAAAAAAAAAAGAAAATTAAAAAGTCCCCAGTCTTTTTCAGATCTCTTAATACAATATTTTTCTGCCAGCCCAAACCAAGAAAACAATAGGTACAACTTTCCTATGCACCAGTGACAAAAATTTTAGAAAGGGTACTATTCATAATAACTATAAGGAATCTCATAATAAAAACTAAAATGTACCTGGTAATAAATCTAACAACAGATATGCAACTTTAGAGTGGCGTGAATTTTATGGTATGTAAATAATACCTCAGTAAAGCTGTATTTTTAAAAAAAAAGAACTTTAGGAAGAAAAGAATAAAACTTTATTGAAGGATTTTAAAAAAGACCTAAGTAGGGAATCCCTGGGTGGCTCAGCAGTTTAGCGCCTGCCTTTGGCCCAGGGCATGATCCTGGGGTCCCGGGATCGAGTCCTACATAGGGCTTCATGCATGGAGCCTGCTTCTCCCTCTGCCTGTGTCTCTAGGCCTCTCTCTTTCTCTCTCCCTGTCTCTCATGAATAAATAAATAAAATCTCTAAAAAAAATAAAAATAAAAATGAATTAAAAAGACCTAAGTAGAGGTATATGTCATGTGCAGAGACAGTAAGACTCTATAAACCACTGATGTCAATTCTCTCCACATTAATCTATAGATTCATTGTAAACTGAAACAAAATTGCAAGAGAATTTTTTTATTGTTGTAGGTTTCTTAGAGAATGGACAAGCTAACCCTAAAATTCACAAAGAGCAGTAAAGGATTAAAAGAGTTAAGATAATTCTAAAGGAAAAATAAAAATACAATTCTGAAGGAGAGGAGCTATCTTTGCCAGATATATTAAGACTTATTATAAACTTATAGTAAATAAAAACAAAAGGGCAATGGTGCAAGAACAAAATATACAGAAAGAGAGCCAGGAAATACATGCACACACACATAAAGGAAACCAGCTAAGTGACCAAAGGGCAAGAATGGATTAATGAGTGGTTTGAGGACAGGTGACAATTCAAATGGAGAAAAAAATCAGATTTCTACTTGCCACCTGACACAAAAATCAATTCCAGATTAAAGACCTAAGTGTAAAAAGCAAAACTTTCAATTTTTAGAAGAACATATTAAATATCTTTACAATCTCAAAGTTCTCTTAAATAACATATAAAATACACAAACCATAAGGGGAAAATTTGACAAATGTGATCACATTTTTTAAATGTTAATTTCTATAAAAATCAAAGTTAAAACTGACTAAAAAAATATCAGCAACACATATAATCAGCAAGGGATTAATATCCAAAATACATAAAGACTCCCCAAACCAGTAAGAGGCAGTTAATATCATGAAAAAGTAAGTGGGCAAAAGAGTTTAAGAGTTCTAACAAACTATGAAAACAAAGAGGAAACCTAATGGTCTAATGAATCAATAAGAAGAATGGTCAATGAAATGCAAAACAAATTAATGATGACATACAATAGCATTTTACAACCACTGATTGGCAAAAATTTGTAAGTCGGGCAATATCAACTGTTGGTGAGGATTTGGATATACAGAGTTCTTAAGCCCCAACAGCAATAAGGTAAACTGTTACTACAACTTTGTAGAGCAATACAGCAATATCTGGTGAAGTTAAGATATTCATGTTCTACAAATTGTCAATGTTACATTAGATATATGCCTTAGAGAAACTTTCCCTCCAGCACCCACCGATGTTTGTGGCAGCATTGTTTAAAATGAGGAAAAAATGAGAAAACCACCTAAATGTCAGTTAATAAGGAAGTGGATTTTTTAAAATTGTGGCATATTCTTACCATGTAATATATATGGCAACTAAATGAATTACATCTCAAAAATCTGTAAAAGGACATTAGAAATTTTATATACAATTTAAGAAACAAATTTATACTACAGTGATTCAAAAGAAGTGAAAATGGCATAAATATGAACTACTGATACAAACCACAACATCAATAGATCTAAAAAGGGTAAGCGAAAAAAGTCACACATAGAGGACCATGCTAAATGATCCCATTTATATGAAGTTCTAGAATAGGCAAATAGTTATTTGTGGTCTATGGTGACAGAAAACATCAGTGGTTCCTGGGGGAAGGAGTACGGACTGGAAATGGTCATGAGGAAGCCTTTTAGGGTTAGGAAAGTATTTCATATCTTTATTGACGTGGTGGTTACATCTGTCGTCAAACTTAAAATCTGTACATTTTACTGCAGATAGAATATCCTCAATAAACTTTATTTCCAACAAATAGAACTGAATGCTTTCAAAAATTATTACTTGCTAACTAGGTAGGATGCAGCCAATAAACACTCTGCAAAAGGAACCATCACAGATAATTTCTGTCATCTTCCAAATGTTCAGTATACACCTTTCTTGTCATGAGGCACACATTCCTGTAGCCCATTTCATTCAGGCCTTTTGTAACACATCCCTGTTCATAGCTGAAATGGTATTCCCTCATGGCTACCAGAAAGAAGTGATATAAACAAAGAGGTTCTTGACACATCCTCACAAGAAGTCACTTGGTGGGGTAGCTGGAAGATCTTGAGGCCACTATTCCCGAAGCAGGTAAACCTTTTGAGCAGTGTCCAATCCACACGAGGAAATGTGTACATTAGGAGCCTCTGGATTGCTTAATGGAAGTGAGGTAGAGCCTCATCCTGATGGAAAATGGGAATGTTGGAGAATGTTGTGCAGCTGTAGGAAAACCATTCCATAATCTTGTCCAAAGAAAGGTTACCTTTGATGGTATCTTTTGTAAAAAAAAAAGCTCTGATGAAGACCCATGTGCTTCAGGAGACACAAAAGACATTTACTTTCAGCAAATCCCTTGAAGTTTAATTGTGAAATGTTGGTTTTCAGTGCCCCATATAGGAGGTTATGATTCATTTTGCCACTTAAGTAAAACACAGACTCATCACTGGTAGCTATTTGTACTTCCCTGTGACTCTCAAACCTGTAGAAAAATTCATTATTTTGCTTTAACAGTTTCCACTGAGGGCTTTAAACAAGTTAAAGCAATAGTTTTATTCTTCCTTTACAGAGAATGTACTAGGCAGTATGCTGAGGGATGCCTTCCTCATTTTCCATATCCTGGGATTTCTCTAGAGACACAAATTTGCCTCCCTAACTTCCTCTGCCGAGGTGATTGCTTTGTGCTCTTTTAAGATGTATCCTTTCTGTTCCTTCTCACTGTACCAATGACCACGCTTTGACAACTTGGTATGTGTGTTCAATGACTGGTACATTGCCTGACCTTTGCATGGCAGCAATACAACCAAGGTTAGCAGACTCCAACATACAAAATTAAGTGTCATAGGGGGAATTCTACAAATCAGTGAATATTACATCTTTATGTGTGTTACTGATATGTTACTGGGTGATAAAATTCAGAAAGCAGTTAATTCTTTTATTGCTTTGAACCATTGTTTAAATACATATAAAATAGGGCAGCCCCGGTGGTGCAGCGGTTTAGCGCCACCTGCAGCCCAGAGCGTGATCCTGGAGATCCTGGATCGAGTCCCACGTGTCAGGCTCTCTGCATGGAGCCTGCTTCTCCCTCTGCCTGTGTGTCTCTGCCTCCCTCTCTCTCTCTCTCTCTGTGTCTCTATGAATAAAATCTTTAAAAAAAATACTATAAAATAAAAAATTAAACACATGAACAGAAAGGATACACATTGACTTCCATCTGGTGCTTGCCTTTGCTAATGGAAAGACAGGAGTAGAATAAGGACAAGTATCTTAAAAAAAATTGAGGCAAATGTAGCAAAATGTTAATGTATTTTAGATCTAGGTGCCTGGTAAATGTTATTTTTGGACTATTCTATATGTCTGGTGTAAACATTAAATGAATAAATATCAGCCTCTGTGAGGAAGAGTAAGAATCAAAAGGCAAGGCCTGTAATGCTAATTCGTTGAGCTCACGAACAATAAATTTGTCATAGAGGCATGCTTCAACCAAAGCCTCCCATGGTTTGTCACAACCAGCTGGGAGGAGACAGAACAAGAAAAAGCTGCCCATAAGAACAAAATCAGGGCTGGATGAGCAGCAGGCCTTTAATCAACCTCTACTCATCCTGAAAACCTCTGGTCCTACCATGGGGACCAGGTAGGAGGGAGGGAGAGGATGGAGACCTAGAAGACGTGGGGAAGACAGAAGAGGCAGGGATCAGGAAGCACTGGAATCAGCAACATTAAATGGTAAATTTTTTTGAAGGATTTATTTTAGAGAGAGGGAGAGTGAGAGGAAGCATGAACATGAGTGGGGAAAGGGTAGGGGGGAAGAGAGAGAGAATCCCAACGTGGAGCTCGATCTCATGACTCCAGGATCATGACCCAAGCCAAAAACCAAAAGTTGGGACACTTAACTGACTGAGCCACCCAGGCACCACTAAGTGGTAAATTAAAAAAAAAAAAGGGGAGGGGGGTTTAGCAGCTAAGAAGGACAAAAGACAATCAGTCAATCCAGTATCAGGCAACTGAGATATAAATGCTATCGTGACAAGTGTATGGCGGTCAGGGCCCAATTAAGTACATACATCTTTTTTCTATTTTTAAACATTTTTATTTTAGTGAATGGTGTCATTTTAGGCTCTAGAGATAAAAAGTAGATACTCTGGCCCTCAAACAATTTATAATTCTGCTGTAGAAACAACATACAAAGTGTACACAAAAATAATAGCTAACATTTATTGAGCGCCTTGTTTATGCCAAGCAGCATCCAAAGCACTTTATGTATTAACTCATTTAATCTTCACAAGTCTTATGATGACTGGACCATTAATATTCTTAGTATTTTACAGACAAGGAAACTGACATACACAGAGGTTAAGAATCCTATCCGAAAACACATTAGTAAAGGCAGAGTCAGGACCTGAACTCAATCTGACTGTGGCATCCAAGCTTTTAACCATGACACTAAAAAAAGAAAAAAGCCTATAATAAACATATTGCAAAGTGCCCTGAATCTAGTTCTGAATTGTAACTCTGGTACGTATAACCTCGTTGAATCTACATGTATCCTTCAACTTTTCTCAAACTGCTTATTTTGGTTTTCTGGAAAGTCTCAGGTAATATAATAAATTACAAGTAACCTCTGGACAGACAGAGGTTAAAATGCCCAAAGTCATTTTCCAGAATTCAAAGCAAACACAGGTCAGCTGGCTGCAAGGCCATTATTTATTCTGTACAATAAGCAGTTTTCAAGTTGTGTTCTCAGGATTCCATGGAGAATCAAAGGCTGGCAGGAAAGACAAAAGATACAGAAGGGGTATGGCTCATCTCACTCTCACAGATATGTGTATCATGCTGATTGCCACATACTCTTTGGATTCCATGGAATTCTTTTTTTGCCGGTCTGCTTGCCTGGGCTTCTTTCTCCTCCTATCACTTAGAGATGAGTCAGTCACCCCCAACCCAAGGTTAGCCTTCTCTTTAATAGATTATTTCCTTCCCAGGCTACCTCAGCACATGTCTTTCACTCCCGGTCGGCCATAAAATAACCCAAAATAGTTATAAAAGTCATTTTTAAAATGGCCACCAATATATATAAATAATAGTATCAACTCTGACATATGGAAGATTAATATGGCTCACATAATCTAAAATAAGTGGATAACCCTCCAAATCATTTGTTATGAGACCTAATTTTAGGAATATATTTGTAGTTTAAAGTTCAATATCATAATTATGAATTGGGAGCATTCTAGAATATTTTAAGCCAAGTCAAGTCATATAAAAAGATCTAAGCTGAAGAGCTACAAAATTCTCTAAATTTTCTTCCTTGCTCAACTTTATGAACTCTGTCACATGAGGTCATTTCTGAGAGTTGACCATGTAACAGGTGTGTGATAATATAAGGCAAGGTATTCTTAATACTTAATATTTTTTATTCCTCTCTTGCCCACATACTCACACATAGCTTATAATGACACCACACAGAACTACAACAGTCCTAATTATTTTAATGAGAAAAATGTGACTTGAGTTACAATCTGAAATAACCACAGTGACCTACCTGCATGTCTGACATGTAACCTCTTTATGTTACCAACAACTACAATAACTATCACTACCCTGCAGTATGAGTACTCAGTTCCCATCCTTTTAAGCCAGAGAACTAACACCTGGAAGTGCCGCGACTGTACTTCTCAAAGTAGCCACGAACAACTTGTGTAAGGATTTCCTGTGCCACTATCTACAAATGCAGATTCCCAGGCTTTAAGGATTTAAAGGAATCACAATTTCTGTAAGATCAAGAAATTTGCATATTTTGACAAGTTCATCCAGGTACTGATTTGGATATCAACAGTACAAAACCATTTACTTTTTCTTTACTACTTAAAGGAGAGACTGGTTAAAACAATCTTTGGTTAAAACAGTTTGCTGATACTTAAAATTACACATGCAGAGAGTTTATCAGTATGTGTTTGAAAAAACTTAGGGACCAATAATATTGATCAAAAGCAGTACCTCTAAATAAATTTTCACTTTTTAGAAAGAGCTTTAGGATAGTAAAGGAGTTCTTAACCAAGGATTAATGATAAACTAACTAGTCTTCACTCAATTTAGCAGTCCACACAGTTTATTCAGCAATGTAACAGAAGAGAACTTCCATTGTGATAGACATAAGGCAGATACAGGGTATATTTCTAGAGTACATCCTTTACACAGACAAACAAATAACTTTAGGTTTCACATCATGTGGCAGGCATGATTTGTTGCATACCAACAGCCATTTATTCCACCCTTCCTAAAAGAGCCCTATTTTATTAGGGGAGACAATGTGCCCTACCCAGGCACTGCTAACCCCACTCCCAAAGGAGTTCTCAGGCTTGTGAACCAGTACTTCTAATGAGATGTAAGAAGAAATCTCTGAGGGACTTCTGAGACAGACTTTTTCCCAAATAAAAGAGACAGACTTGAAAAGGAAAAGCTTTTGCTTGGGAATGAAATGTCTGGAACAGCAACAGCCACACTCTACTCACTGAGCAAACAACTGTAAGAACAGAAGCCACCATGATAAGGATCCCAGAGGGAAAAACAGAAAGAGCCTGGGACCTTAGGAGCATTGCTGAGCTACTACACAAGCACTGGATTATCTTGTATCTTAAGTGGAATTTAAAAATTGTTCAGTGGCCTCTGAAAATGCTTTTAACAGATGTTAGTTCTAAGTTTCTCCTATACTCTAGTTCTATGATTCTCATCAACAAGTGAAGGGGAGAATGCAATCAATGTCCAGCAAGACATTCTTAGTTTTCAGAAAGATGCTTCCTCTAGATTGTTCATAGTATCTATGAGTCAAGCTTGAAAACTCCTTTGTCACCTATCTCACAGTACAAGTACTTTCATATTTCCAGGGGAGGACATTCTAAGTTCAGTCACCACGAAGACAGGATAGCCTTTGCTTATGCAGAGCCAAGTAAGTAAAGATAGTGGCATTTCTGCATGTTTGTGTGTATCCTGTGTAGGTGTTACCACTGGTTAAAATGTAAGAGATGGAATTTATAACAATGTAATTTCTTATTAAAATATCTAGCTCTCTTACTGGAATAATCTATAATCCAGCTACAAGAATGCTTTCCCACAGAAGTTATCACTGAAGTATCATTATGGTACACAAAGTATAGGGCCTCTCCTCCAGGACTATCCTGTCATAGGTCTGTAATAAGGCTGTGGGGCTTTTTAGGATGGGTAAGCTAGTTCCAAAACATAGGGAACATGGATTAGACTGGTTCTACATGAACAGTCTGGCTGGAATACTGATTAAATTCATGCTGAACAAAATATGTGTAGACGATGGGAGCAGATCCAACAATTTAAGCAATTCCCCAAGGTAGTGACAGTCTAAATCAGATTTAGAAAGGAGTCATTTTTCCATTCTTCCTTGGGCTACTAGTACCAACTCTAGAGTGTCCATGATTTTGACTATTTAAGAAGTTATTTGTTTTGGCCAAGTTTTTTATTCAAGGTTTTGTCTGTTCTGGTCAAGATTAACTGCAATGCAGGGTTAAAGCCAGCTACTCTAGAGTCATGTATCCTTTTTCGAACCAGTGGAGGACCCAGAAGGAATGGGTGGCAAGCTTTTTCAAAGGTCCATCTAGTAAGATTTTGGGGAGCCCACTCAAGTGGGAAAGACCAAGGAAGAACAAGGCTTCTATTAGCAGGATTATCAGGGTAACACTCAGGGCAATAATCAGCTCTGTTAATACGGTCCAAGAATACTTGGTAACATTCATTTTCAACAAGTTCAGTTTGGTACAACCAATGGCCTAGTTCTAAACTAGGGAACCACTGTTGTCCACAGTCCGGGCAATGTGAATTATCTGAGAACATCTGGCCCTAGAGAGATAACACAGAAAGCAATGTAACAGTAAAAGGCAACAATGACAAAGAGAGATACCCAAATAACCAGGCCTATTACAGGTCTGGGTTAGCAATTTCTCAGTCCAACCAACAATACTTGGTGACCGGAATTAAATGTGGCTTGCCCCTCCGTGCAATTCTTCGTTGTCTATTCTTCACTCAATTGCAACTCAGTCTCTGGACTCAGGGACCAATCCAGTCTATAATGTTATCAGTCACTTACTAGCAGCACAGAGCTCAGAACAGCCCCTTCAAATCCCAGCTTCTCAAGAAAAGATAAGGCTCTACTCTAAATTGGTTATGTTTTCTTGTGTGTTATCAGCTGGTGGTGTCATGCAGAGGCACTTGGCTTACTCTGCTTTGCTGGTAAGTTATTATGTCTGCTTGGTGAAACAGAGGAGCTGGTGGGTCCAATAGGTCTTTTGTGGGCGCTGGCACTTGCCGTTGTAATACACGTACCCAAGTCTTAAGGCCTTGGTACTTTACAGCGACGAAGGGGGTCAGGAAAACCTGGTAGAGTCTTCTTGAGCGTGGATCCAATGAAGTCTTTCTTGGGAGGACCTTAATCAGGACCCAGTCACAAAGAAGTAGCTGATGCTGAGTTGGTTGAAGGGTCTGGGAATGCTTCACATACCTGTAAATGATAAAACTTCAGACGACTCACATGGGCTTTGAGTTGCTCACAGTATCATTAGAGACATGCATTTGGAAATCATTTGGACCAGTCAAGGTGGATGAGAACTGTCTTGTCGGTTTCTCTATGACAATTTCATATGGGCTCACACTAATTTATCCATTGAGAATTATTCTTATGCTTATTTTGGGCACTATGAAGGGTTTTAGTTCACTTAAGATTCATACTAGTTTAATATTTTTAGGATTATATTTCTTTTTTCAAACCCCTTTTGCACTTTAGTAATAATACAGTCTATATAATTATGTTTAATTAGTAAAAATTTTGAGATTGTGTATCTTTTCTGTGAAATGGGTACCATATATGGTATTCCTGTAATGTGTGTAATAACATTAACAACAGTGACAATTTTTCTATAATAGACTTCAATTCAACCAGGAAAACGCTTACAAAATCATCAGGAAACATTCTTGATAGCTAACTCTAGGAAGTTGGGAGAAAATCCTTTTTTAAGGCTGAAAAAGAAACCAAGGGGCATCTCTCAATACCTACATCTATCTTTATAGGTTTATGAACATTATATATTTAAGAAGGCAAGTAAGGTATACAGTCTTGAACAACAGTTCTGAGTAATTCTTAGAAAATCAGTTGGAATTCGCAGATACTATCACCATTTTTATACTCCTTCAGGACACTGAATAAATAATGTGATGTACTAGAATGTATGGAACAACTACATAACCACTTAGGGAGTGGTTAACATATCAGAATACAACATATACCTTGCTTTTCTCCAGTGTTTTTTGTGCGTTCTGAGGCTTGATCCTGTGAGAGCACGTAGAGACACTGGGGAAGGCGTGAGTGCTAAAACTGTATAAAGATTTGGCCTGAAAAGCAGAGGAGTGACAGCCTTAGTTGTGGTCAGCCAAAGCATTTTCCTTACAGACTATCAACAGTAGCTATGATTCTCAGATTTTAAAATGACAAGTTTAAAAGGCAATCAAGAGCCTCTAACAGTGCTGCAACACTGGGCTACTGTGTTGAGGTGATGATGAACTCTGGATGAGGTGAGACAGGGTCAGTGTGGATACACTGAAGTATTTCTTGAGGTTAGGTAACAATGTACCAGTGCAGGCTGCCAACTCAGCTCCTCAGGCAGTTAACAGAAAGGTACACCAGGGTTCCTGACTCAATAACCTTTATAGTGACAACACAGAGCATAACAGATTTCCCTGTGGGTCCACTGGTAAGAGTCATCGGAGTAAAAGTTTCAGTTGTTGAATTGGGAAATCTTGCATTTTAGTACATAGACAATATGTACTAAATATGATGAATATAAAACCCACATAACCGTGGAGTTCAACATAAAAGTTAGTAGTAAAGTTATATAGCTAAGTCTAACATTGAAAAGATAAACAGGGATGCCTGGGTGGCTCAGAGGTTGGGCATCTGCCTTCAGCTCAGGGCATGACATTGACAGGCTCCCGCCTGCTTCTCCCTCTGCCTGTCTCTGCCTCTCTGTGTGTCTCTCATGAATAAATAAATAAATCTTAAAAAAAAGAAAAGATAAACAATTTTGGATTTTTAGAGTAAGAGGGAATATACAATTGAAATCACAAGATAATATTTCACATCCACCAGACTGGCAAAAATTAACAAGTTTGACAAATGGGGCCGTACATACTCTAGGCAAAACCACTCCTCCCCCAGGATTCCATTATCTCCAATGGCCGTCTCAAGAGGGAGCCCTAAAGCTCCAAATACTCAAAATAAATCCACTCTTTCCCCAACCTTCATTTCTCCAACATGGACAGTCAACAAAGCTTTAGAGCTCCAAGTATTCCTGAACTAAGAGAACTCTGGTGTTCCTTATGTTTCAGACAAGACAGCCCTTCCCGTGGTCCCCTAAACCACTATCAGCAAGAGTCAAAAGAGGACCCCCAAGCGCTAAGTGCTCAGAATAACATTACTTAACACCAGCCTCCTTGTCCATTCCTTAGTCTTAATCACTAATAGATGAGTGAAGAGGGCCTCCTGAAAATGCTGCCGGCAAGATTCTCAAATTCCACTCCCTCCCCCACTTATAGCTTCACTATAATTATAGCTTGAAAGCATCAGAACCAACCAATCTCATCATACCTGTACCTCTGTTTATCTTGACCACTAAAACGAAGCCCAAGGATTCCTGGTTGTACTTCATCCCTTTAATTTCTAATTCCCATATGGATCCAAGAGCAGCCGAGGTAACATCCCCTTCTCCTTGCCTTATATTTTCCATTTTGATATATTAAATATCTTAGCAATTTGTCTCTACTAAAATATACATATACACTCTTTGAGACCAGGGCATTTTGTCTATTTACTGCTATAACATGCCCAATAAACAGAAATAGTAAGAACAAAAAAGTAACTTGATTCTTTATACAGTAAGAGCATAAATTAGTATAACCACTTTTGGAATTAATTTGGCATTGCCTAGTAAAGCTAAAGACATGCATTTTCTATAACTCAGTAATTCCACTCCCTAGAAAATTTGCACATTTGTGTTTAAACATATGAATGAAAATATTCATGGTAGTACTACGTGCAGTAACAGCTAAAATGGTCATGAATGGTAAAATGGATAAATAAATGGAGGTACAGGCATACCTTGTTTCATTGCACTTTCCTTTACCGTGCTGCTCAAATACTGCATTTTTATCAGTACCATTTTTCCAACAGTATTTGCTCACCTTGTGTCTCTGTGTTACATTTTGTTAATTCTCATAACATTTCAGACTTTGCCATTATTAATGATATTTGTTATGGTGATCTATGATCTAATCTATGATCAGTGATCTTTGATGTTATGATGTATTATTTAAGGTGTCAGAAACCATGCCAATATAAGACTGTGAATAAATGTAGTTCGGACTGCTCCACTGACTGGCTGTTCCCTCATCTCTTTCCCTATTGAAATTAAGCCAGTTAAAAACCCTACAATGGCCCCCTAAATGTCCAAGAGATAGGAAGAGTTGCATGTCTCTCACTTTAAATAAAAAACTAGAAATTAGGACACCTGAGTGGCTCAGTCCATTAAGACTCGGTCTTCAGCTCAGGTCATCATTCCAGGGTCCTGGATAGAGCCCCACCCACATCATGCTCCTGCCCCACAGGGAGTCTGCTTCTCCCTCTGTCCTTCTCCCCACTTGTTCCCTCTCCTCTCTCTCTCAAATAAATAAAATCTTAAAAAAAAAAAAAAAGCTAGAAATGATTAAGCTAAGTACGAAAGGCATGTCCAAAGCTCAAAGGCTAAAAACAAGGCCTCTTGTACCAACCAGCAGAGTTGTGAAGGAAAAGTTCTCCAGGGAAATTAAAAATGCTATTCCAGTGAACACACAAATGATAATAAAATGAAACAGCCTTATTGCTGATATGGAGAAAGTTTAAAAGGTCTGGAATGAAGATCAAACCAGCCACAACCTAGCCTAATCCAGAGCAAAATCTTCACTCTCTTCAATTCTATGCAGGCTGAGAGATATGAAGAAGCTGCAGAAAAAAGTCTGAAGCTAGCAGAGGTTGGCTCCTGAGGTTTAGGGAAAGAAGCTGCAAAGTGAATCAGCAAGTGCCGGTGTAGAAGCTGCAGCATGAAATGCAGGAGATCTAGCTAACTTACTAAATGAAGGTAATTACACTAACAATAGATTTGCAATGTAGATTAAAGCAGCCTTCTACTGGAATAATGCCATCTGGGACTTTCAGAGCTAGAGAAGAGAAATCAATACCTGGCAGACTCTTTACAGGCTACTGTGGCAGTGACTTTAAAGAGGCTTTTTAACCATTCCAAAAATTCTAGGGCCCTTAAGAATGATGCTAAATCTACTCTGCCTATGCTCTATAAATGGAACAAAGCCTGGATGACACCACATCTGTTTACAACATGGTTTACTGAATATTTTAAGCCCACTGTTGAGACCATGCAGGAAGAGGTTTCTTTCAAAATATTACTGCTCATTAACAATGCATCTATCTGGTCACCCAAGAGCTCTGAGGGAGATAAATGTTGCTTTTGTGCCTGCTAACACAATGTCCATTCTGCAGCCCATGAATCAAGGAGTAATTTAGATTTCCAAGTCTTATTATTTCAGAAATATGGCTATACCTGCTATAGAGAATGATTCCTCTGATGGACTTGGACAAAAGTAAACTGAGAACGTTCTGGAAATGATTCACCATTTTAGATGCCATTAAGAACATTCCTGATTCACAGGAAGAGGCTGATACCAACATTAACAAGATTCTGGAAGAAACTGATTCCAATCCTCATAGAATACTGACGGGATCAAGATTTCATTGGAGGAAGTAAACTACAGATGTGGTGGAAATCGCAAGACAATCAGAATTAGGAGTAAAGCCTAAAGATGTGAGTGAATTTCTGTAATCGCATAATAGAACTTTAATGAATGAAGAGTTGGTCACGGATGAGTAGTTTCTTGAGATGGAATCTATTCCTGGTGAAGATGCTATGAAGATTGTTGAAATAACAAAAAATTACAGTATTACATACATACACTTTGTTGAAAAAGCAGTGACAGGGCTTAAGACTGACTCCAATTTTACTCACAGAACTGTGGGTAAAATGCTATCAAACGCCATCACATGCTACAAAGAAATCATTCACGAAAGGGCCAACTGATACAGCACACTTCACTAAAGTCTTATTTTAGGAAATTGCCACAGCCACCCCAGCCTTCAGCAACCACCACCCTGTCAGCAGCCATCAACATCGAGCTAAGACGTCCCCACCAGTAAAAAGATTATGACTCACTAAAAACTCAAATGGTTAGCATTTTTTAACAATAAATTATTTTTTAATGTATGTACATTTTAAAAAAACATAATACTAATTTCATAATTAATGTACTACAGTATAGCATAAACACAACTTTTATATGCACTGGAAACCAAAAAATTGACTTGATTCC